CGCCTCGGCTCGAACAGCCTCGAAAGGGGCTGGTCCGAGGCATCCACCGCAGCATGGCTGGCGAACGAGTGGAACGGCGGCGCGAGTTCCAGGCTGGCCTCTGAAGCCAGCGTCCAAGAGCCCTTGTCCAGAGCAACCTGGTCTGCTTGAAGAAGCATGAGTGCTGCACGAGCTCGGGCCTCCGCCGGGTTCGAGTTGATAAGGCAGTCTAGAATCCCAGCCACCCCCCAAGCTGTTCTCACTGCCGCCGGGTAGTTGGTAAGCCGGCTTCTGCTCTCCACGGGAACCCGTTGTCGAAGAGGCAGTGGGAGATGGTTAAGCTTTTGGAGCGGTACTTGGACGGATGTGATTTCTTGACTTTTGAGCCGCCCGATCTCGGGCGAACAGCTTCCAAGCTGGAGGACTAGGACCAGATCTTAGGTGACATTTGGCGTGAAGTGGTCGGTTTGCATTCTCAGTCTAAGTACTTTGCAGCGCCTCTTCATTCTCCTTGCAAACATGAAGAACCTTTCGTTGATGATCGGTGTGGTCCAGACGGTCCCTCAGCCGGAGGCCTTGTAAAGGACTTCGGTGAGCCTTGTGGCCGCCTTCGTGGAGAAAAAGTGCTGAATGCAAAGCCGATTGTGGCGAGCCGCATCTCTATGCCACCGCCACCAAGCTTTGATCCTGGACCCTTTTTGGACCCCATCACCAGAGATGTGTACGAGCACCCCTTGCGACATCGACTAGATGAACCTCGCGAGCCTCCCCGGCCCAGGTCAAGTATCATGGCTACGAGGCCTTGCCAGCAAGTCCCCTTCACGAGCTCGAAGACGTTGACGAGGACCGGGGTTCTTTGCTTCGCCGATTCTCATGTGCCCGCAGCGTGCGCAGCTGGCGAGGCTCAACTTGCCGCTTGCATCAACCCATCCCTCCGCCCGAGCAGCGGCGCGAGCTAAAGCATCGCAGAAGCCACGCGGATACGGTTGCGAAAGCGCGGTCCAGGCTTGTTTATGAGCAGATGAGCGGCCTCTCAAGAGCACATGCGGCAGCGTACGAACGCAGAAGTTGCGCTCCCCACGAAGTTCACAGGACGTGGCAGTTCGCGTTAAGGCACTACAGCAGAGAAGTGTCGGGTGCTCAATCCACCAAGTCATTCCTTTCGACTCGCGCAGCCCCACTAGCTCCAAGCACAGAGCGGCCAACGCGTTGTCACGCTCCACCTTTTGCTTCATCGCACCACCCAGCCAAGGCACACCATCTGGAAATGTTCGGGACCTAACAGACGGCGTAACAACTCTGGAAAAGGTGGCAGCTGGGGGGGCCATGGCCACCACATTGACCGCACCAGACTCAACCAGGGAAATCACGGCAGCTCGGCACTCAGGATTTGTCAAATCCCGTAAAGGACTCCTTTTCACATCGAAACCGATAACCCAGGGAGATCCTTGCCGAACCAGGGCACGAGCCATCCCTCCAGAACCGCAGAACAAGTCGAGGCAGCCCTTTTTCGAGGGGTCTGGTGAGCTCCCTCGCTGGAAGAACACCTGACTCGAAGGAAACCCCAAAAAGGTACAATCATCACTCCCAGGTTGCACGCACTCCTCAACCGACTCGACACGAAGAGGAGCACCAGTCACCCATGATTCGTGTTTCAAACGCCCGCCAGACTTGCAAGCCAAAGATTCAGCAGGAGCCTGGGGCCGCACACCATGTAGATGGCTGAAGTCGGGCGCCTCAGTCTTTGAGGAGATCTTCAAGAGGAAGGCGTCGAACTCCTCAAAGTCACCTGCAGCTGCTTTTTCCCACCAAAGAGGCAAGGGGAAAACAGGGTGAGGGGGCGGCTTTCCACGTGTTGGCCCATCCGCTGGATTCAATTGTGTAAGGAAGTACATGAAATGAGGAACAATCCCTGCACAAATGTAAGGCCCAACTGACGTCGACAACAGCTTGCTGAGGCCTGGCGATGCAGAGCGCCCCTTGACCAAGCAGCCAAGGGCTACCTGAGAGTCCAAGCCGTAGAGAATTCTAATGTCCTGAAATCGCCGAGCCAAGAACTCTTCCTCGACAAGGTAAGCGCGGACCTCCTTGAGGTTGATGTGCTAGCCAGGCGGCATCGTTCATACATCCACGCCTTGATCGGGATGAGAAGCTTCGTCCAAGTTCCCTTAGAAACGGAGTGCCGGCAACACTCCAAAACAATCTCAGGACTGACCTTGGTGCGGACGGCAGCTCCACCCCAGGATGAAGCATCTGTCGCTCCAACGAAGTTGGCAGGCTTAGCTTTCAGATTCGTCACAGCGAAGGGTCCTAAAGCCACCAAACACCAAAGTTCAGACTTCAACCTGCTCGAAAGACGAATGATAGTCGACTGGTCCTCGGGGGCTGCAGCTGCGAAGATCAAGTCCATGACCGTTAGGAGTCGGCGCCTCAACAGGAGCACATAAATCCACGAGCCACACATCATCTTCATCAACCCGACCGTGGCAAATCCCAGCGATGCTATTCGAGAAGTGAGAGGCCAAAGCCGAGACCTGGCAGGGCGTACCAAACCCACGATACCGTCTAACTCGACTCCCCAGAACCTGCCCTCGGGCTCGTTCTGGAAGGCTCTCTTGGAGTTGGTCAGAAGGGCTGCGCCTTCATAGGCCAAATCAGCCAACGTCATACGAACATCACTGGAGGTTCGGGGCCAAGGATGTGGGGACTCAATCAGAGACAACGGCACCACTGCGAGCAAAATCAAGTCATCTATGATAACGCCAGCATGGATGCCCCCCCTTGGTGTCGGACTGCACAATGTGATCAGCTCGCTCTGAGTGAAGACCCCCTTTTCGAACAAAAGGCACAAGTGGGATGCCTGCGCGTATTCGCAAGCCGAACAGTCGCCCACGGCCATGGTGTTCAACCCGACCTGAGCACGCCCATTCACCTTGACCTTGCCTTTGCCGAAAATCTCGTCCACATCGTCCTGCGATAAGGAACAACTCAAACAATTCCTCACCATGCGTTCACGACTGACTTTGAACTGGTAAAAGAAGTCCTTGAGGTCTCGGCCCGAGCAGAGAAGGCCGCACTCACGCGGCAAGTAGATCCCTGCCACCTTCTCAGCCGAGGCCAACAGCTTCGTCCATCTATTCAATGGCAGCTCATAAACGTTAGCGCCTCTCCCGTCAAGTATGAGGCGATCCCGTTCGAGGTCCTTCGTCACCGAGAACAATCCCGAGCTGATTCCACGAGCCGCCTCCGAACTATCAAGAACACCCAGCCGGCCTGCTGAGGCAAGCTTCTGCTGCAGAGCCAGCTTGTTGGCCGGCCCAGTCGTGAAGCACCAGTCACCGTGCTCGCATGCTTCTGGCTTATGCGCCGGTGGGCCGGGGTGACGCTTTTGGCATTCTATGGCCTCGCCAGGATCGGTGAGGTTCTTCGGTGCCGAAGGTCTGATCTTCTGCTCCCAGACGATTTGTTGGATGATAAGCATGGTGCTTTATACCTGTGTTTTAAGAGCTCAAAGACGGCCACAAGAGGGCGACCCAAGGTGCAACACACTGAGGTTTCTGATTCTCGTGCGGTCAGCTGGATTTCGGCGATTTTCGCAGGGCTGTCGCCTGAAGATTTTTTCTGGCCATCCTCTCCAGCTGCATACAGGCACCGCTGGAACGTGCTCCTCAAGCATTTGGATGTCCCTCACGGTTTGCGTTTAACTCCAGGAGGATTGCGGGGCGGTGGTTCATCTGTATCGCAGTGGATATCCTCTTACTGATCTGCAATGGGCTATGCGCTTAAAACACCTGGGAACGCTCGAGCATTATTTGCAGGAAGTGGCAGCCACCACAGCACTGACTGACATTTCTCCGCATGGTCGCACACTGATACGTACCGCGGCTCGGCTCTTTGATTCTTTGAGCAAGCCGCCGTAGCTCGGCCTTCGCTTTTCTGACACAGGACGAACGGACTGCCACTCTTAGTGGCCGCCGCTGCTCGACAGTGGCCCTTTAGCACCCGTCTGGCCTCTCCAAGGTTGGACTTCTGCCTCTGGTTGCAGAGCTTTCGATCCCAAAGGGTTTGCCCTGCTTCTCGTGAAGGCACTTGCAGCTTCGGATTGCAGGCACGAGGAAAAGTCTGAGAGCCTTTCGGAGGGAAAGTGTACAACATGCCGAATCATGTTTTATTCGAACGACCGGCAAGTTTTGTGCCCTCCCTCCCACCCCTCCGCAGAGCGGACTGGGGGACTTCTGCCTCTGGTTGCAGAGCTTTCGATCCCAAAAGGTTTGCCCTGCTTCTCGTGAAGGCACTTGCAGCTTCGGATTGCAGGCACGAGGAAAGTCTGAGAGCCTTTCGGAGGGAAAGTGTACAACATGGTGATAAATGGCCTGATCAGCCAGACGTACCTGCTTTCGGATTAGCCAGTGGGCCCCCTGTGGCACTGGAGTGACCAACTCTAGAGTGCAGTGTGCAGCGACAGCCTCAGTTCTGCAGAGCTTCAGTTGACATGTACGGTTGCAGCAATCTGTCTTGTGCAAGCAGGCTCCAAACACAGCACAGCATACAGCTTCAAAAGCGCACATCTAGAATAACACCCTTTATGGGTTCCATCCGTGACTGCCAACAACACTATATCAGTGTGTGTGTGTGTGTTGGGTTTTCGTCTTTGCCCGCGCCAGCAGGCTGCAGGTCGGCAGAAGGGAGGTGGACACCCCCAAGCAGGCACACATGGTACGCGAGGTCAATGTCACATCCAGGCCACGGAATGCGAGGAGGCTGCGGTGCTGAAATTTGCTTCAGGTGCGGCTAGAGCAATGCAGGCCTGCTTTGGGGAATCTGTTTCCCAGCACGATGCACTAGCATCAGAGGCGCGAACAGACATGTCGGCCCAAATGAGTCAGACGTTTCAGCGTGGCCGTGCTGCGAGTGATTCATACAGACTGAGGCATGATTGCGCCAAGAACAGAATTTGAGTTCGTGCAAAGTGCAAAGTCGCCAGGGAGCGTTGGACACCAAATGAGGTGTTTAGGTTCCCCATGGCTCTGGCGAATGCTTCCCAGTGCGGCTGCCGCAGCATCCACGGCGACAGCGGCTGCGATTGGAAAGCGTCGCCGCAGCGATGCCCACTGTGCTACGAGGGAGGCGTGCTGTCATCTCATTGGGATATTGAGACAGGTCGTACATCAAAGTTGTCGGGCTGCAGGCTGCCCATGTGGATCACTCCCTGACAAAGGACATTTGTCAAGTGTGCTTGCATTGTCGAAGCTGACCCCCAGAGAGTCCTGCGCAAGGAAGTTGCTTCAACGCGTTGGTTGAAGTTGCAGACTTTGACCTACCGAGCCATGTCAAACGATGCAGAGAGCATTCAGCATGCAGTGATGAAGCTTCGGTGAAGAGCATGCGTAGCCCGATCCACGAGGAGACGAAACAGGCCGAGATCGGCGATGGGACAGCGTCTCCAGGACAACTCGGCGTGCTGTGGCGACGGGCGCGACGGATGTAGATGCCGTGGCAATCCTTGCATTGCTGCGGTCCTCGTTGAATCCTGGGCGAGCTGAAACACTGCTGGTCCAACAGGCTTCAACAACCTAAGCTCTTGTTATCAGCTCCGCCTGCCTTGTGGTCGTGAGTTCGAAGCAATTGGTCTGAAATCTGCAACTGTTCATGGTGACCTCGTTCTCGCAGTTTCGCCCGCCCGTGGACTGTCCCACCATCGAGCTCCCAGCTGGCCTAGTGGACGAGGGCGAGACAGTGGAGGAGGTGCGGCTAGCACACCCAGAACTGAGGAATGTGGAAGCTTTGCTGTTGCAGTTGAGAAGTGTTGGTGCCTGTGCAGGCAGCCCTGCGAGAGCTCAAAGAGGAAACTGGCTACGTCGGTACGGTCGCTGAATGCTCGGGGGTTCTGACAATGTCCCCAGGGCTTTGTGATGAGATGATACGGCTCGTGGTCGTCGAGGTGGACCTAGATCGACCGGACACTTGGCTTCATTCACCTGTGCCAGTTGTCAGCATGCCCCTTTCTTTTGGGATCTTGCAGTGTAAGACTGTAAGGAGAACCAATCGCCAGAGCAGCAGTTGGAGGAAACAGAGCGGATAGCGGTGCGGCGCGTACCCCTAGATCAACTTCTGCAAGAGCTCGAGGCATTAACCCGAGAAGGATGCATGCCGATCGCAGGCCGGCAAAGTACGAATGGTTTTATAATCGAGACGAAACAGAACTTTCAGAAGACGCGGGTTGTCACCTTTATGCACCAAGTCAGGCTTACACTTCTTGGCCGTGGGCTTGCGCCTTGGCCTTCTGCAGCGCTTCTTCTCCGATGCGCTGGCTCCCGGTCCTGGCGCTGGCGGTGGCCCTTTGCACCTTTGCCAAAGAGCTCTGGAGAGTGGAGGCAGTGGAGGCAGTGGAGGTCGAAGGTCCATTTTGTTCTCCTCCCCCCTCCCTTGTTTCTCAAGGTCATCCTGATGATGAGCGAGGAAAAAGGAGTCACTGCATCTGAATCTAAAGGGCCGAAGCTCCAGTCTCCGTGGGGCGGCAGTTGAGGCCGTTATGTGGGCTCTTGTGGCGTGTGGTCGTCTTGTGCTGGCAGGGAAGCAGAAGGAGAGGGCGGAGCCACGCTAACGAGGCCAATTCCCCCCCCGGCTCTGCAGTGGAAAGCTGAGCGTCTCTTTGTGCCTGTGCTTGTGCATGCCAGGGCCTGGCTTGAGATGGCCCAGGCCCGTGGACTCCTCAGTGCGATGTGCGTGACCCTCGACGCAAGCCGGATCGCTTGCTCCAGACAACAGCGCCTGCCGGCAGCCAAATCAAGCCGTTTCACATACATGAGTGCCCTGTTGCAACCCTGTGAAAATTGCAGCGTTCCACCTGATGGTTTGATGATAGCTACAACTACAACTCTCACGCGCAATGATTTGTTCTTAGGCTTTTCAAAGGCATCCTAAGGCTACCTCTTCGCAATGGACGGGGATGCGAAGCGGGCTTCGGACGGTACGGACGGTCAAGGGGTTCCGAACCCCAAGCGCCCCAGGAGCCTGCCCAGGGCTAAGACTCACGAGGAGGAACTGGATGATCTCATTGCAAGCGGGCTTCTGGATGAGCCATCCGATCCACCGGAGGAGATTGCCCGACAGACTTTTGCGGATAACTTCTCCTCCAAGGGCTTTCGAGTTCAAGAGGAAGACTTGCCGAAACTTCTGGCAGAGGTCATGGAAAAGGGTCCAGAATGGGGTGGCACACGGTACTGGCGATGTGCAGCCCTCTTTGTCGGCTGCATGGCGAGATCTACAAGGTCATGCCGCATTGCCTTCGTGGCACACCCGAAAGGTTTGAGTTTGATGGGCCTCGTGCTAAAAGAGGCGGTCTCACGCTTGGAGGCCCCCGGCTCACATCATGAAGCGAGCATGCTCGCGCTGGCGTGCCTTACATGCCTCAAGGCTTTGCCCTTAGGGCGTGCCTCGCTGTGGGAACACCGGCAGGCCATTGGCAAGCCTTTCGACCAGCTGCACAAGTGGTGCGCCAAAGACCGCAGCGCCATTGCGGCCGAACTTCGGGGTCCGACTCTCGAGCTCTGCCAGCGCTGGAAGCGGCAGCCGAAACCGGCAGCCCAAGAGCAAACCCACAAGGCCTTGCGGGGAAAGGTCCTTGAGCTTATCTCCAGCGGTCTTCATGGCCGCGGCACCTCACCGTCGGCCTCGCCGGCTCCAATGAGCTCACCTGCGCAGCTGCCCGGAAATCTGGTGGCCGCCGAGGTGGAGAGTGCTTTGTGGGGCCGTTATGGTGCGAGCAAGACGGCAGAGTACCGTCACCATGCTCGGATGCTGCGGGCCAACCTGGCTTTGCCCGGCAATGGGGAACTTCGTGCAAGGGTTTTGGCGGGAGATCTCAAGGCGGAGGAATTGGTGTCTATGGACTCAGGTGCCCTTGCGCCGGACGAGATCCAAAGGCAGCGCCGGGAAGTTCAACTTCAGGCCATGAAGGAAGCTGTTGTCGAGGACCTTCAGCCTGTAAGGCCAGAGGATGGAGAGGGCTCACCTTTCGATCCAGGTGCAGATCTGAACACCGCACCACTGGTTTGGCGCAGCCCGACGAAGGATACCAAACAAGAGAGCCAAGAAAGCCAGGGTGATCAAGAGGAGGTAGCCACGGGTTTGCCCATGGTCCCGCCCCCCACACCTTTCCGACTCTCCGTGGCTACGCCAACTATGGAACCAGCGACATCAGACATGCCCGAAATGCTCGCCACCCCAGGCCCAGATGACGAAGACGATGACCTGATGGCAGTCTTGCGGTTCCTGGCCTCCTCACCATGACAATGCGAAAGATTCAAAAAGGATCTTGCCGGGGATGTTGGTGATGTGTGAAGCTTGATGTAGACGCCGGTTCGTAGTGCGGCCCTGATTCTAGTTCTGCCTCAAGGCCGCAAGCAAACCAGCCGGACCATGCGTCGAGGGCTGAGGATGTCCGACGTGTGCCGTGCAGCTGCATGTTCAGGACTGTCGTTTAGATGGAGAAGCCTCGACACATATGGACACTGAAAGCGCCCACATTGCTTGCCGATTTGTGGTTTGTTCGCTGCTGCCAAGTTAGCATCAAGATCGGATTGCCTGGCTGTGGCTAATGTGATTTAATGTCAGTTTAGGCTTAGCAGATGGCCTCCTTCGGTAGAGGTCGTGGATATGCTGGTGGTGGTGGCTTTAACTCCTTCTCGGGAGTGCGGCTGAAAGCAAGCAATCGTGGGAGGTTAGACCCCGACCCGGCAGACTTTGATGTGGACTTCAGTTCATCCCTTGAGGCAGGCGCGTGCCAAAATATGAGAATCGCTTGCAAGCGCTTTAGAGGTGTTGCACAGGTAGGACTCACCCTCGCCAGGTCGATCTTGGTGCAGGTTTAGGCACCGGCGTCCAGCGCGACTCCTTCGGCTTCACGTCCCAGTCGGGAAATCGATCACGAGGTCTGAAGGCCAGCAGCTTCCAGCATGTACCAACCACAGGCCCGAGGCCTGGCGGTGTGCTGCAGGGCTTGGAACAGATGCCTTTCGACCATCAGATCAGAGCGATGCGCTGGAGGGGGGATGGTGTGTGCTGCTTTATCTTGGCAGGGAGTGGCGGGATCGATGCTTTTCGAGCATCTCGAGTGTTGCCGCATTTGCTGCACTTGAGCACGCTCAGCACCGGACACCTGTCGCAAGCAGATCTCAGTGGATTTCGAGCCTGTGTGCTCCTAGCTGACCTTATGGATTGGCCGGCCACCGAAGAGAACGCACCAGACCTTGTGGCCGCATGCAAAGAACTAGCATCAAATGGTTCTGCAGTTGCCGTAGTTGCAGTTTTCTTGTCCCCCATCCCGGGCGGACCCGACAGGGATGCAGCAGCCACTGCTGCATTGCAGAATGCCGTGCTTGGAGCTGGAGCAGACTGCGTCTTATTCTCGTGCCCCTCGCATCCCGTGACTTTTCGGCACTTGCAAACAGCTATTCAGGGCACAGAGGCCTGGCACGAAAGGATCGCAGAAGCGATTGAGAGTGCCCAGGCCAAGTTGGCCAGGGCCCAGGAGCAGCGCTGGCAGAGGCACTACCAGATCGCTCTTCGCAAGATTGTGTGGAAGGCACCGCAGACGGTGTTTCCACACATCCCTCAGGAGGATGCGGACCTGCAGGAGCGTGAGGATGGTGTTGGAGACTGCTCCTTCGTTCGTGTGATCGGGTCTGGTGCCTTTGGCAGCGTCTTTCTCGGGCGACATCCTAGGCTCGGTGATGTCGCCGTGAAGGCCATCAAAAAAGCGTCCATCAAGAACATCTTTGACCTCGCCAAGGTGGAGCGGGAGCTGAGCATCCTCATGGGAGTGCTTGACCATCCCAATGTGCTGCAGATTCTCTCGTGTCTACACAGCGCGCACCGTGGCTGACCATCAGCTTGTCACTGACTGAACCAGCAAATCAGTAGGTGGGTTCGGGCGTGTATGGAATCTCTCGTGGTGAGAAGGTAGGTTGCCGGCTCAACTTGGAGGCGCTTTGAGCCTCCAAGAAAGAGGAGGAGTTCGTGCCTCCAGTGCGCTGCGGACTGCGGGTTGCAACTCTATTCCGTCTTCTTTCGTTGCGCCGAACACCACAGCACTGATTGAGACAATGAGGAGCATGCACAATTCTAAGGCCAGCTAACACAGGCTCCAATCGAACAGGAGCCTCCAGCCAGTCTGGAGCATTTCCGTGTTTAGGCGCCGCCACAGGCCCAGGCATGTGTTGGGCGTGTGAACCAGGCATCACCAGACCTGCGAATGTGCGGGTTGGGTAGATTGGAGGGACAGGGATGACATCTAGATGTCAAGTAATGAGTGGCGAAGCACCTCTATGTGTGTGAGGCAGCAGTTCCTGCAGGCAAAAAAACACAACGCAACGATATGTCGCGCGACGTCCGCGGCCGTGCCCTCGACAGGGGAGTCTGCCCCAGCGAAGAGCCAGTTTCTCCTGATGTTTTGATCTGCGCATCTGCCGTCAAGTCATTGGTTGTCGTCATCACCGCAAGCGGAATCACGTCGAACTGCTTACTGGGCACTCCACTCGTTCTATGAACGGATTTTGGAAAGATGGATTTTCGGGAGCCACCTTACCTTTGGTGCATAACCCCCTGCCCCTACACCAAGTGTGATGTGCCGGCAAAATCACGCAGATTCGGGCCATGGACGGCAAACCCTTCCAGCTCACTCCGTTCATGCAGACAGCGAAAAGATATGAAGCGAACAAGTGCTCGAGAACTTGAGCACACCAGCCAACAATCAAGCAGGGCGAGTAATTGAGTACGTATTTGACGAAGCCTTTAATATTCGGCAAGCCCGGTGCGTCCAGTGGAATTGGCGGGTTGACTGCCTTCCTTGTGCCTGAAGTTTCAGATCCGCTCTAGCAGAGGAACAATTTGTACATTGTCATGGAGTTCCTCGGGGAGTACACTCTCCACACCTACTTGCAACTTCGGCAATCAGGATCTGCCCGCAATGTGGTCATGCTACCGTTTCAGGAGGTGCGGCTAATTTCAATTACAGTCGTGTTTAGCCGTGTTTGCATTATACAGGAAACGAAGGGTTGCCGCACTGGTGCTGCAGGTGCAGAGCATTTTCGGTGACATCTTGAAAGCCATTGCCCATTGTCATGCCGCTCATGTGTGCCACCGTGACCTGAAATTCAAGAACATGATGATCGATGCAAATAGCCGTGTGACTATGGTGGATTTCGGACTCGCAGTGCAAGTTGCACCCGGGCAAGAGCTGCATGACTCCTGTGGCACAGTGCCTTTTGCCGCGCCAGAGGCTGCAGTTTCTTTGCGTTTGTCGTTCTGTATGTTCCACACTGAGAGATCGAAGTGCAGGTCATGTTGTGCAGCCCGACCAAAGGCTACGACGGCACAGTTGCGGATACCTGGAGCTCCGACTGACTCAGAGCAACAGATCAAACCTCCTAAGCCCATCCGGTCAAGTACTCACCTTGGCAAGGGTCCACCTCAGCTGTGAGTTCGAAGCAGTCCATGGGTGGAGGTTGGTGGGCAGGTGACGGGGAAGCGAGACTGAAGACTTGGCATAGATGCAGGAAGGCAAGCAAAGTCATGATTCGGCCAAGTATTGATTCATCCTTCCCAACGCCTTGACGCATATGCTGCCAGTTTCAGAATCCTGTAAATGCCGTAACCGAAATACCCTGCAGAAGCCTTTGTGCCGGGCACTGACCGTTACACTGCCGAGCTCCAACCCGCATTTCAGTCATGAAGGCTCTAGGGACTCTACAGGAAGGGTTGCCCCAAACTCTTAGGAACTTCCACCGGGCTGGGGGCAGCGGGACCAGCGGGTTTGGGGAGAGAGATCGTCCATAGACAAATTCAGGCTGTCCAGCGCAGAACACCGGAACCGTGCTCAGGAGCATCGCGGTATGCCTGGTGGAGCTACTCTGTGGGTTGGGAACGGTGGAAAGCAGCTTGGAGAAAGGCATTGTCTGTTCGTTCATTTCCTGTTGCAGTTCGGGAGTCTAGGGTTCGGCAACCTGCGCATCTTCTTTTATTGCCGCCAGTTCTGTCCAAGGCATCATTGGTCTCACGGCAGACGACGAGGCCAATTTTGAGCATATCGCTCAACAATGCCTTCTCCTATGCACTGATTACGTGCACCAGCTGGTCTTATCATACGCCGGCAAGGATGTACAAGGTGTGCATCGGAATGACCTGGTCAAGACCATGCGCGGCACCTTTCGGGAGAACCCTAAGTCAAGAATGTCCGTCCGGGACATTGGTGCTTTGGAAGCGTTCTCTGCAAAGGCAGGTCCACTTCCCAAGGCAAAGAAGCATCGGGGTGAGAACGACGACGATGAGCGATCTTCTTGGACTCAGTCCCAGTACTCTTACCCAAAGAGTGGGGGCAGCGGCGAGGGCGACGAGACATTGTCAGACCTGCGCCTTGCTTTATGTAATGGCTCATAACATTTGATGCGTCGTCTTTGCCTCACCCCAGGCCTGAGCTGTACAGAGCCAAGGTCTGTGCAGGACTGGATCGGTGCCGAGGCCGACCAGGGCATCCGACCGGTGCAGCCTCTCTTGGAACGAATAGGCCAGGCCTGCCTTTCTCAAGCGTTTTGGAAGCTTTGGCAGCCGAAAAAGAGGATCCGTTCCCGAGCCGAGGTGGCTCTCAAACGGTGGTGAAGGTCGTGAGCACTGTCTACGATTGGCTGTTGCCCCGTCCGGAATTCGGGAAATTTTTCCTGGCATGCCCACTGATGCCTGGCATGCAAGTTCCCTGATCTGAGAGACGTTGGGGCAGTGAGGCACATGCATGGAGCAGGAACCCACAGCATCTCAGGAAGATGGGAAGAATACGAGCCGGAATCAGTGTCCAAGCTGAACGGAACTGCTATTTTCCCGAAGCTATCTTTCAGGGCATTCGGACTAATCGCTGCCTCCTGACAGCGTCAAACCCGGTAGTCCCCATCGAAAGATCTCCGTGATGAATCCGACTGGTCGCAGTGTCATCACGTTCAACTGTCTAGGATAAGGCCGCCGCATGATAGGGCCAGCCAAGTTCAGTGGAGTTCTGGCCTTTGCTTGGTTGACTGGGCCACGGCAGAGACGGCTAGTGTCCTGATGTGTTTCGGGGTAAACTTTGCGTTCATTGCGGAAACTGCTGTTCGTGGGCAGTGGTTGAGCGTGGATGCTGGGTTTCCTGGAAAAAACGACAGTGCACATGATATGTCGGAGCCTCTTTCAGGTAGGAACTAGCAAGAATCCGCATTCTGCTGCAAATCCCTAATGACTAAGCCGTGCTGAGCCTTGCAGAAACAGTGTGCTGAATGCAACGGCCGGACAGGTTCCTTCCTCACGGAGCTGTTGGAAGATCACGGCAAGGTCGACCTGGACATGCTGTCCAACGTGCACTGGAACCTGGGTGTGTCGGACTTCCTCTTCACGGACTTCGCAGATGCCTTGCTCGAGGCGTTTCGAACTTGGGGATCCCGGGGCGACTTGGCTTTGAACAGTACAGACCAAAGGCCTCAACACGTGTGCCTCCATTTTGCGGCCAGGTGATTCTGCCATGGCAGAGATCCAGGCTTCAGACTTGTGTGACCGCCTTCAGAAAGAATCGGGAGGGGGTGTTTCCTCGCAGATCCCTCGAGGCTTCCATCGAGAAGCTGCGGCTTCCCATCACAGCAGGCCATCGCGCGCGCCTGGCCACGGCACAGACAGACCGGTGCCCGCAGGAGCCGGAAGGTTCAGCTGAGTCCGTCACACTTCCACTCCTCTCAAGGGATGAACAAAGGAGACAATTGCTCTCCAAGGTGAATCGCTGCAATTTGTCAGGTCGTACTCCTACGGGTGCTTCAGGGATGTGTTGCAGCTTACAAGTATCCGAAGCAGCTGACGCATGTTTTGATACGGGTAGCAGTGCCGGCAGTCTCATTTGCAGGAGATTGTCTGGCTCATGAGCGCCCTTGGCATTGTCGCAGAGGACTTCGCCCAAGCCCTCTCAGACCTGCTGACACAGGATGCGAGACTGGAGGCGGGAACAGCCACTGGCTCAAGTCCAGCAGTCAGACCCTGCAAGCCTGCAAGGCATGCCTTAACGAGACAGAGAAGCGCGACGAAGAAACCAACCTCGCCACCTTGCACCAGTTTGCGAGGACCAAGCGCTGAAAGCCACCAAGCGTCAGATGTCATTTCAGCTGCTGGGTCGATTCGGCGATTTGCCTAACTTCTCGCCTTTCACTCTGCTTGATGGAATTTCGAGTTTTCTGAACCGGGGCCTCCCAGGGCATGCAGGAAACTGCATGAGGAGTCTAGTCTTGCTAGCCAGGACGCTGTGGCAGGGCACGATCGACGCTGCTATGGAGGTTGTCTTCGCCGGTGAGCAGCCTCTGTTTCAGCAAGACATCGGTGCCGTCACCCTCTTCTGCGAGAACGTTCGGCAGGTCTTGACAGAAACAGGCTCATAGAATAGAAGCATGTCCAGTGCTCGTTCCTGTTTCTGCTGTGTGTCTTCCGTGCAGGCTTAGAGGACAACGATGCCAAGGACATGCAAGTTCTCATGGAGCATTCTGGTGAGCTCGTCCTAAACCGGGCTCGCAATGCCAGACTTGTGCAGCCACCCAGCATGGCACACGACGTTCAGTGGTTCCAGAAAACAATGTTCGACCTGTGCAAGGCTGACTCCTACTTGCAATTCTTTGCGGAGAGCCCCAAGATGGAACTTTGCTTTCAGTCCATCTTCAAACTGATCATGAACGGTGGCACACCACCTACTGGTGCAGCCTTCTCCAGTAAGCTCCGGAGCGCCCACCAAGATCTCTACCTGACCGATGCGCGATACAGTGCCTTCCTTGCGCAGGTGGACAAAGTGCTGCGAGCGATGTTCCCATGGCCTGTGCATCCTGCCGCAGTCGCGAACAACAACATTCGATCCTTGGAGGGGTTTCGAACCGAAGTTCTGTGCGGCAGTACTTTGCGAAGCTCTCGGCTGCAGGCTGTCGAAGGCATGCTGAACGCAGGTGTGGATTCCAGCAAACAGAAAATCGCCAGGAACGCGAGAAAGGGCCGGGTAATGGCTGCCATGCAGCGATGCGCTGGGAAGCTGTTTGGTGCCATAAGCTCGGACTCACGGGTGTCCGTTTTCTTTCGCAACACAGACCCGGCATGCAAGGACCGTAAAGCCAAGTATCTGGGCTGTGCGATGGGAGGCTCCCTGCCAGCTGCTGTCACTCCCAGCCACACCACTCCCGGTGCCACGCCGGGCACGACGAGTCCAAGCTCCATCTCCTCGGCCAGTTCTCTTCCCATGTCTCCCACCTCATCCCTCAAGCAGCAGCACCAGCTTTTCCGCATCTCGGACTACCACTTTGACGTCTTCCTGGACCATGTGCGCACATCCTTGGGGGCCGAGGATCCCGAGGCTGCGGACCTGGCCCCAGCCCAGCTGGAGAATCTTCGGCAGCACGTCGTCCTAACCGGCCGTGCACAGGCTTGCCCTGTCTCGGGGAACACAGCCTCGAATGGCCGAGTCTGTCCATTCGCTCGCCGGTCCGCAGACGGTAGTGCTCCGCTTTTGGAACGAGTCGGTGGCTCAGAGGAGATCGAAAAGATCCTGGCCCACATGGAGCGGGAGGCCGACTCGTTCTTTAATCACTTTTCCTTTTGTGTGACGCAGTGTAGGGTGGCATGTTGCAGGCCGCTTCCTCGTCCATCTTGGTCCCTTTCCTGCAGAAACAGGACGAGTTGCCGTGTCGGCTTGCGATACGGAACTTGCTGGCCACAGCGGCCGCAGGCGACAAGCTTCCTGAAGTTGATCCGCAGAAGCTGCGAGAGAAACACGCAAGCTTGCAAATGCTGCCTGAACATCGTGAGAAGTGGCTGAGCTGCTTCAACAAGAGCATGGTGGCACATATTTTACCGCCAGAAGTGGCAGAGAAGCTGCAGGCATGCTTCCAGTCGCTGATGTCCTCCATGGTGTGTCCCTCCGAAGCGGAGCAAGAGGACGATGCGGAGGAAGATAGGTGTGCAGAAGAGAAGTCTGCAGTTGATTGGGGTCGGCTTCAGGGATTGATGGATGAACTCGAGGGCGAAAAAGGCCTGAGCAAATTGATCGAGGCTTGGTACCAGCGAATAAGCGAAGATCCCACCATAAACGTGTTCTTCACCGGCACGAGGCCTCAAGTGATGATGTTCCAAACTCGTTTCTGGAAGAAGGTCCTCCGATCAGGACTCGAACCTGATGGCCGTAGACAGCTTCAGCTCATCAGCGTCCACCAGCATTTGCGCATCACGCACAACCACTTTGACTCGTTCGTCCGGTGTTTAATGCTGGCTTGCGACCAGCTGAACTTGAGCCAGCCGTCTTCCAACAACATGAGAGCGGCTGTGGAATGTTTCCGGCCGCAGATTGTGTCGGAGAACTGAGGTATAGAACTAGTCAGGGTGCTCAGGGCCTAGACTCTCTAGCTGGTCTGGTGCCCGGAGCATTGATAATGCAAGTCCAGAGGTTAACTCTGATGCCGGGCGTTATGACAAGTATTCATAAGACTGGAGACAGCATGTGCTTAGTTTGCTCGTGTCCGTTTGCTGGAGCCATAAGCCCGAGGAGACATTTTGAACAAGACTTCGTGGTCTTGTCCCCCGGTGCAGGCATTGGAATGATCATTCTCCTGCCACTGCAGACATGCCATTTCGCGAACAGGGTGAAATTCTGCACCCCCAGACAGCTTGCCCGAGTGGGTATGCAAGAAAAGAGTTGAGAGGGTGCTGAGACGTAGATGCACGGTGCTACGGCGCGATACTGTGAGACGCACGAATCTGTAGACCGGAAGTAGAGGTGAAGACCGCGCAGCTTGCAGCACTCCGCGAAGTCTGCCTTGCCCCGAGCAGTGCGTCCCGCCAGCTGCAATGCTGCGAGTTGGGCAGAGTTGAGAGAATCCATGCTTGCACTGCTGCAGGGGCCCGAGCATGCAAAGACTGCGGACAGCCCCCACACAAGGCTGTTGAAGCTTGCTGTTTGGTGGTCGATTTGGGATCTAGTCTGCACCTGCTGAATGTACGCAAGGACTGCACACCCCTGAGAAGGCCCGGGAGAGATGCAGAACATCAGTCATGAGTTGCACGATAATCGGCAAATTGCAGAGCCGTCTAAGCGATTACGGGCACGGAGTCCGAGGCATATTCTTGATGTCAGTTTGCCGCAGGTCTCAACAACAAGGAAGCGCCAGAGACTCTCGGAAAGGTTCTTGCATCTTGAGAGCTGGGAGGGAGAAGGCATCGACAACTAACGGCCCCCAAGGTCCGAGCAGCGGCGGTTACGAAGAGTCCCATGCCCGCAGTTTTGACAGATGCTCAATCAGCACTGGCTTTGACACAGCAGATGCTTGCATAGTTCTAGAACTGCTCCGAGCATGAGCATTGACAGCTGCAATATGAACTCGGCCATCTGCCCACTTCTCGTAGGGCAACTCGGAAATGCCAGCGGGCGGACAAGGAGCCGTTTGCAAATCAGTCTGCTCCGATAGATTCCCATGTCCCGTGGACCTGTTTTTGCCGTCTTGGAATACTGTGTAGCCACTGTTTGCTGTGCCAGATTTTCGCGGGGTCAGTGTTCGTACGGATTTGACAAACAGCCGAAGTTAGAGCAGCAAACTCTGACCCGCTTGTTCAGGAGCCAACCCTTTCAGTCGGGTTCTCGGGTTTTCTCATGTTGCATTGTTCCGGCGCCTCCGACCTCCACCCTTAGCCTTTTGTTGTGCGAGGCTGGTCGTTGGGTCTCTTCTCCCCAGTGAGGGTCTGAGAACAAAGCCCCTCTCTTGCCGAAAGCATGGGCGGGTGAGCTTGAGCTTGACTTCGCAGGCCCGCCGCGGACGACGGGAAGGCCCGGTGTGTCACTGTGACGTCGTTGTAGTAAGCTCAATCCTGCATAGCGGCGCTGCCCAAGTTGCCAAGAGTTTGGAAAATGCGAAGCCAGGCATCGGGCAGTGTCAAGGAGCTCAAGGCAGTACCGGGACAGATGTGCCAACAAGAGAGTTGAAAGCACTGATCTGTTAGTCATGACCTCCACGAGTGCAGAAATTTTTAGGGCCAGGGTCAACTGGCTGGTTTTGCCAAAAGTGCATCGCAGTTTCTTATGGGCTTCCAGTGAGTGAAGTCTCACGACCAAGAATTTCAACCTGAGCCACCCATAGTAACCAGCCCCGACCCAACAAACCTAACCTGAGCTGACATGAAAACCATAGGGACGTCAGTGTTGCCTCGTGTGCTGACCAGCACGCTGCACTTGCAGTGGCGATCAGCCCAACCTCAAGCAACATCTGCTTCTTGGCATGTAAGGGGTGACAGCCGTGCCTATGAGCGAAAATACAGGGCTTTGAGCTGGCCCTTCAGAGTCTCTGAGGTGGCCCATGCCGGGTTTGATTGAGACACGGGACCAGGAGGCTGGACTGCGCCGTGCAAGCTGTGCGGAAGTATGATGAGCCACGTTTGGCAGGAGCTGCATTTGCTTACAGAGTCCTATGAAGGCCCGCGCAGGACAATTGGATTGGCAGCAACTGCAGGAAGTGCATACTTGCCGCTCGAGTGTTACAGTCCAAATACTTCCCACTTGTCCAAGAACAGTTGCCGCTCGTTGCGAGCGCACTCGGAGCTCACACCATACGTTCAGGGCCCTCGGCACGCGGCATGGTGAGGGACAAGCAGGTGCTGCCGAAGAGCAGGTGGGAGTTAGCTTTTCCGTCTGCGCTCGGGTCATGAAAGTTTGTACGGCAAGCATACATGCGATTTGACTGCTGCTCCCCCTAACGAGTCAGCAGGAAGGTGGCGTACTATGTCGTGGCGCTGGGCATGTTGATCCTGGTGGTAGTATGCCTTCGGGTTTGGACGATTCCTGTGCCTCGGTTGGCGAGTCATTTCAGCGTGCAGTCGCTTCCCCCTTTGTGGCTGGGCATCGCCCACGGCCTTCCCGGAGTAGAACTGGGCCACCTGCGCAAACGATTCGTCGAAAGTCAATCTCGTAGGACACTTGTCTCGGTGTAGTTTCCTGTTTGTTGACCATGGACATCCGGACAGCCTCATGTCGTTAATTTGTACTAGCTTGAAAGGATGTGCGATGTTCGTTGAGCAGAAGTTGCCGGTTGGGCCCGTGTGCAGCAAAGGGACTTTGTAAGGCAGACTTGCGAGCGCAGATGCAATCGCCACCCGAGCAGCAGCTCGGCGAGCAGCAGTTCGACTGGCAAGGGCTTGGAAGACGGGTTCCGAATGGCAGACTTGTTGTACCAGGGTCGCTTTCACCGAGACTTGGCTTCCCGCTCGCCTGTCGCAGCTTCGTAGCACATGCTGCAGACAAGCTCGATAGGAAACGTGAGGCAGCTCTTGCTGTCACCGAGGAAGTATGCAATTCCTCCAGTCCCCAACAAAGTGAACGATCACAATGGCGTCGAGTGGCCTCCGATGTGCCTTGATCGCTGTCATGAGCAGATGAACTGGAGCAGTGCAATTCTGACTTCCCTGAATGCTGGGGAATCGGCCCAGGTTTGAGGAGACAGAGGGGAGTTTTGCTATTTCGGCCGAAATCCAAGGTTCGTGCATGGAAGCGAGACGATGCACTTCTTTATCATAGGTGGTGGCCTCAGGGTTCTGCACGGCCCGCTAAGCAGGTCCATTGGATGTCGTCCTGCAACATGTTTCCCAAGACGATGTACAAATGCCCAGACCAAGCACTTGAACTTTTCCCTGATAGCTTCTTGTAAAATGTTTCCCCCGCAGCATACTTCCCCAGTTCGTGCTTCGAACAGGTTAAGCAGGAAAGCTCACGTCACAGAAATTGATGCGTCCACTGCCACAGCCGGAGGGCAGAACAAAGTTGGTGGCGACAAGGCAGTTTGAAGAGGTCGAGGTATGCTGCAGAGAACAGTCTTCAACGGCATGAGGCTGAGGTCGATGAGGTGCTAGTCCTCTGCAGAGGTTTAAACTCGAAGATGATAACCTACCGAAGGCGACTGGGGTGGACTTGATGGATTCATCGACCCTCCAGTTGGCGGAAAGACCGCGCCCCAGTTGCTCCCGATCCCAGCTCGGCTCGGCTCGTCTTAGCTCGGCAGGATGGTGATGTACGATGGCGGCAATTTGCCTGGGCCGCATGTCTTTGCCCACCGACCCTCCGGCTGCACCGATGGTCAGATGTGACTTGGCTTGAATGGGGTGTCACGGGCGTCCTGCTGATTGTTTTTTCCCAGGTCGCTCTGCTTCAACAGCCATGGTGCACCCGGCACCTGCATTCCCAGTTGTGGCTACAACGAATCTGTCGACCGCGAGCCCCAGTACTTAGTGGCCAATCAGATGAAGCGTGCAGCCAAGGGTTGTCCAATTAGTCTTTCCGAATGGCCAGACTGCCTGAGCTTGGGACTTACCCTGCTGCTGAGGCGGCACGCGGCAAAGACCCCTCCGAAGTTCATTCTCAATGTCCCAGCCTCAGAACGCATCCCATTCTTGCTGGTCGTGCCAGTTCCTACCGTTCAATGAGTGTAATGTCGCAGTTGTATTGATAGCCCCCATCGCCAATCATTTATGATTATGTTGGGGGAGATCCAGGGGTCGCAGAAAAGACGTCGCTTCTGCGTTTGGGGTTTACTGTACCAGCAGTAGTAGCAGTAGTAGTGGTAGTAGCAGTAGTAGTAGCAGTAGTAGTGGCAGTAGTAGTAGTAGCAGTAGTAGTAGTAGTAGCAGTAGCAGTAGCAGTAGCAGTAGCAGTAGC